GGGGTGAATTCTGGAGGCGGGGGTCGGGGTGGGGTGGGCACAGGCGAGTGGAAGTTGTCCCATTCTCCTTCCCCATACTGCTGTCCTGGGAGGTTTGTTCCTGGCTTCTCTCCCCCACCGCCCCCACCTCTGCCCCACAGCCCCTGACCCTCAGCCCAACATGGTCCTGTAGACACGACACATGCACAGAGTTTGATCTTGCCTGCACATGTATTTTTTATTTTGTGTTGTCGTTTTTTGTTGATTTGCTTTTGTTTTTCCGGTGCTGAGCTCAAACCCAAGGCCTCACATGTGCTAGGCAGGAGAGAGAGCACTGAGCCCTCCATCCTTGGGGGACTTCTCCTACACTTTTTATTTCTGTTTTTGGTGTTTGTGAGATGGGGGTCGGTGGATCTCACTATGTAGTCCAGGCTGGCTCACGATCCTCAGGGTTGGGATGGCAGATGTACACCCGCCACCTCTGCCACCACTCCCAGTTTCTTCTGCACATGTTTGATCAATGGGCTTAGCTTAGCAGAAGGTTTAAATAACAGATAAGAAACTTGCCAATCAGGTGCTGGTGGCTCACACCTGTAATCCTGGCTATTCAGGAGGCTGAGATCTGAGGATCATGGTTCCAAGTCAGTCTGAGCAGAAAAGTCCATGAGACTCTCATCACCAACTAACCAGCAACAATGTTGGGAGTGGAGGTATGGCTCCAGTGATAGCTAAGCAAGAGCAGGAGGATTTTCTTCTTGTTGTTGGTTGTGGGATTTGAACTCTGGGCCTCAGCTCTTCAGCTCAAGGCGAGTGCTCTACCACTTGAGCCATAGCGCCAGTTCCAGTTTTCTAGTGGTTTATTGGAGATAAGAGTTTCACAGACTTTCCTGCCCAGGCTGGCTTTGAACCATGATCCTCAGATCTCAACCTCCTGAGTAGCTAGGATTACAGGTGTGAGCTTCCAGCGCCCAGTAGCGTGAGGATTTTAAGCCCAGTAATAGCCTCTAAACAAACAAACAATCAAGAAGAACCATTTGCTATTAGCCTTCCTTAGGAATGTACATGGGTTTCTCTGGCCTTGCATTTTGCATCCATTCAAGTTTACTTTCTTAGATCAGCTACTCACATTCAGTGCTCTCTCTCCTGCCTAGCATATGTGAGGCCTTGGGTTTGAGCGCAGCACCGGAAAAACAAAAGCAAATCAACAAAAAACGACAACACAAAATAAAAAATACATGTGTTCAGTGTTTGTCAGCTGTCTGTGTGTGTACTGGGCTCTGGGTTTAGCAGTGGAGACTCGGGTGTCAGGCTAGCAGGTGCTTTCATGGAGTTCAGGGTGCACAGATACAATCTAAGCAAATGCCCAGATAGGCTACATAATTACAAATTGCAACAAATGCTTTGTAGGGAACACACTAATTTGCTTATTAGAAGTTGTTAAATGATAAAAAGTGAGTCTTCAACCTGATGCCTGCAGGTTTTTCTGGGACAAGAGAAGAAAGAGATGAACGGGCTTCACCCCCGTGATCCTCCTAGGGTGAATGGCGGGAGGAGGCTGCGTCCCCAGTGCTTTTATGTGAATGAGTCCATTGACAGAAGCTTTTATAAGAGTCTTCTCAGGTCAGAGTCTTCGGTCCCATTTTATAGATGGGTATATGGAGGCCAAGGGGTCAAATGGCTTGTCTGGGGTTACACGGCAAGCAATGAAGCTGGATTCAAACTTGGGGTTGTTTGATGCATCTTGGGCTGGGGTGGGGGATATGGTAATTACAGACCTTGTTGTAGGCCCCTGACACATTGTCCCACTGCATGGCTGGAGAGAGACAGAGCTGACATGGAGGCTGTCCCCAGGGGAGCGGGAGGAGGTGACTGGCCCAGCCCTGCTGCCTGTCCCATGGCAAATGGGACCCAAGCATCTGTCACTGAGACACACTGGCAGGCTGCCCGGAAAAAGGCCTCTGGCCTCATCCTGTATTTGCCAAAGCTGGCAGAGATGATGGGGTGGGGGTGGGGTCCCCATGACACCCATGTGGCACTCAACTTGCCCAGCATGCTCACAGCTGGGGCTCTGTGCATGATCAAGGCTGAGAGCAGGTGGCTTAGGAGGTTGAGGGCCAGTTGGAAGACCCCTGGCTGAGAATGAGAATCGGGATTCCCTGCCCCATACCATGGCAACTGTGTGTGTGTGTGTGTGTGTGTGTGTGTGTGTGTGTGTGTGTGCGCGCGCCAGTACTGAGGCTTGAACTCAGAGTCTGGGTGCTTTCCCTTAGTTTTTCCACTCAAGGTTGATGCTCTACCACTTGAGCCATAGCTCCACTTCTGGCTTTTGTTGGTTGACTGGAAATAAGGAGCTCCAGACTTCCCTTCCTGTCTTTGAGCCGCCATTCTCAGATCTCAGCCTCCTGAGTAGCTAGGATTACAGGTGTGAACCTCGGGTGCCTGGTGGTTGGCAGCCTTAATCCTGTTCTTTCCATGAGACTCAGGGAGCTAGAGTCCAAAACCAGCTCTGTGACTTTTGGCAAGTTACTTAATCTCTCTGAGCCTCAGTTTTGCTGTCTTCCAAATGGCTGTCCAGTCTGTCTCCCAGGCTGTTGGGGCGGATGTTCATGTGTGGGGAGGGCTGGGGGCTGTGTCGGTGGCTGTGAAGGCAATCTTACTCTTTCAGGAACTTGGAGTGTCGGCTGGCTCTCCCCTGCTGACTTGGCCAGGCTTCAAGACTGAGCAGGTGGGGTCCATAAACCTCTCTCTGTTTCATTCTTGCCACGTGAATGCTCACCCATGTGAGGAGCTCTCATCCCTCCCTGGGCGCCTTGCAGGGGCATTGTGTCTCCAGCGGCACACCTGACCCATAGGAACGTTTGGAAGTATCCTCAGAGCCTGAGCTCATGCATGCTCTGGGGTGGGGGTAGGGTTTGGCATTCGTGAGGGATCTCCCGGCCCCAAGACAGCTGGGCCTGAACTGGGATAGACTGACAAGGAGAAATGAAAATAAAAGACAGAGATGAGGAACTGGAGGCATGGCTCAAGAGGTAGAGCACTAGCCCTGATTGAAAAAACTGAGTGAAGCTGGGCACTGGTGGCTCATGCCTGTCATCCTAACTACTCAGGAGGCTGAGATCTGAGGATCATGGTTCAAAGCCAGCCCAGGCAGGAAAGTCTGTGAGAGAGACGCTTAGCTCCAATCAACCGCTAGAAAACCAGAAATGACGCTGTGGCTCAAACTGGTAGAGCACTAGCCTTGAGCAAAAGAGCTCAAGGACAGCACCCAGGCCAAGAGTTTAAGCCCCTGGACTGACCAAAAAAAAAAAAGTTGAACTAGAACACAAGTTCAAGTCTTGGTTAACCCCTCCCCTCCCCCATAGAACAGAAAAACATTTCCTGCCACCGAGGGCCAAGGATCTATCTTACACAGACTGAATATGATGTGCAGATGATTCTGATATTGAGAAGGGAGACTGAGTTACCAAGATATGGGTCCAAGGATCACAGAGGATTTTTTCCCACTGTAAGGGACAGAGTGCTTGCTGACTTGGCAGAGCCAGGGAGATGCACTTTCAGAGGCTTCCATGTGTCCTGGGGGCCCAAGGGCACACCCACCCTCAGGAGGAGCAGACCCAGGAGCTGGACAGGGCTGGCCCAGCCTGCCTGCCTATCCCTCTCTGTTCTGGAGTTATAGCAGAATATACATACAGTTTACTATTGTAGTCATCTTCTTGAGAAGCTTACTGCATAGCCCAAGCTGGCCTCCAACTTGTGATCCTCCCATCTCAGCCACCTGAATGCTGGGATTACAGGTGTGCTCCATACCTAGGTATTATAGCAACCGTGTGTGTGTGTGTGTGTGTGTGTGTGTGTGTGTGTGTGTGTGCGTGCGTGCGCGCGTGCACATGTGTGTTGGTGCTGATGCTTAAACTCAGGGCCTGGGTGGGTACTATCCTTTAGCTTTTTCACTCAAGGCTAACCCTGTACCATTTAGCCATAGCTCTGCTTCCAGCTTTTTGGTGTTTCATTAGAGATAAAAGTCTCATAGACTTTCCTGTCCAGGCTGGCTTTGAACCATGATCTTCAGATCTCAGCTTCCTGAGTATCTGGGATTACAGGCATGAGCCACTGGTGCCTGGCTGGTTGCTATACTCTTAATCGTGTAGCTGTTAGCTAAAATCTGGAGTGACTAACCCCAACCTGACAAGAATTCAGGCCGGATTAGCTGCTGAGGTTACAGCCTTGCTATCCCTGAGAGGAGTCCTGTGATCCCAGCAAAGGCCCTGCCCACCCTAGTCCCTACTCCTTTCCTTCCATGGCCTCATTTCATTCTCTTGTCAGGTAAATACTATCATTATCGCTGTAGCTTAACAAGCTGGTAACTGAGGCTCAGAGACCCCAGATCACTTTCACAAAAGCACACAGCTACCCAGGGAAGGACAAGGATTTACATTTTACTTTTTGGGGGGTGCCTGTACTGGGGTTGAACTCAGGGCCTAACTCAGGCTAAGGGCTAAACTTCCTTCGCCTTTTTGCTCAAGGTTGGTGTTCTACCACCTGAGCCACAACTCCACTTCTGACTTTTTTGCTGGTTAATTGGAGATTAGGGTCTTGTGGACTTTCCTGCCTTGACTAGCTTCGAGCCACGATCATCAGTTCTCAGCTTTCTGATTAGCTAGGATTACAGGCGTGAGCTACCAGCAACCGACTTAACATTTGGATCTTTGCAAGTGCAATGCAGGCCCAGACTCCTGGCCTTCTCCAGTTAAAAGCTTCTGGCATACGATGGACTCCCAGTGTCCCTGGTCAGTGGGCAGGGTGGTGGGTATCTCTGCTGCTCAGCACCCCCTTTAGAATCCCACCTTCATTCATGCTTTTCCCTTCCACCCTGGCCAGCTTTCTGATGGATGGTCAAGCCCAGCCCGGCCCTCCTGGGCCTGACTCTGTCTGGGCCCTGGCATGGCAGCGAGGGCCCCTCCCATCTTCAGCCTCCCGCCCTCTGCTTGCTAGGCAGGTCTGGCCAGTGAGTGACTCACAAACCAGAGTCTCTGTACACCTGGCCCAGTCCGGCAGGTAGCCAGAATATCCAGCCCTGGGCTCCTGCCCGTCTCTGCTAGCTGCTCTGCTTCTGGGGACCCTTTCCTGCCACCAGTGAGGCCCGGTCCCCCACACCTGCGCCCCACCTCCCCTTCCCTGAGGACTGCCATCAGCCTGCAAACCAAATCCAGAATCCAGGTCAGGTGTTTTATGGTTGTTTGTTTTAAACTCTCTCTGTCCCACCTGGGTTGCAGGGCGGTCTTTTGGACATTAATGGTGGTGATGGCGGGGTCTCTGTGGTAGCCACATCCTTGGGGTCCAGGCTCAGGGGAAGGGGGCACCCTGCTCCCTCCCGTGCGTGGCCCTAACCCTGACCCCCTGGCTAGGCTAGCGGGGCGGGTCAGGGCAGCGTGGGCAGAGGGAGGCCAAGGGGCCTGGAAGGGCACAGGAGTGGTAGGGAGCCACCTACTTCTGTCTTAGGGTCACAGAGTTTGTGGGGGACACAGTTTGATATAGCCAGGAGCATTCTACAACTGAGAAAAATGAGGCTCTGGAGATTGGGAATCTCTCAAGGTCACTGGGTGAATTGATGGCAGAATGGGTGGGCTGGAAACCAAGGGGCAGGGCACTGCTCCCTGCCCCATGACCCTTCCTTGCTCTTCTGCTTCTGCAGTTTGGCTTTGCCTCAGGAAGGAAGAATGCAACCTTAGCAATGTCCCAGGCAGTGTCTTAGGGGCTCATAATTGGATGGCATGTGTGTGTGTGTGTGTGTGTGTGTGTGTGTGTGTGTGTGTATCAGACTTGACCTCAGGTCCTCATGCTCTTGCTTGGCTTTTTCCTCTCAAGCCTGGTGCTCTTCCACTTGAGCCACACTTCTGGCTTTTTGGCAGTTAATAAGAGTCTCATAGAATTCCCTGTCCGGACTAGCTTTGAACTGTGATTCTCATGTCTCAGCTTCCTGAGTAGCTAGGATTTCTAGCATTCAGCATTCGATGGCATTTTGAAGGTGGCTCAGGTCCTGGGTGTGAATCTTGACATGTAGTTGTTTAGCCTTTGTTCCCCTGTTGATGGTCAGCTAGTTGCCTTTGGAGGCAGTGATTTTCATTTTTGTGACCAGTGCTTAGTGGATGATGACTTAGTACTTCCTGGGCTCTTACGTTAAGTAATTTTTTTTGCTGAGAACGCACAGCACATGGATGAACTCATTTAACCCCTTTCCCCTTCCCCACACCTCTGTGAGGTAAATTAGTTTGATTATTCTTATTTTGTAGCAGAGAAAACAGGCACAGAGAGGTTAAGTAACACTCAAGATTTCACAGCTTAAAAAAGACAAAACAACAATTAGTTTGAGGAGTTGACCAATCTGAAAGTAGTAGTAGGGTTTCACTGGGTTTGAGAGAAGGAAAAACAAAACAAAACAAGGATTTCACAGTTTGAGAAAGTGGACTGAGAACTGTGATTCAAAGCCAGCTGGGAAAGGAAAGTGTGTGAGATTCTTATCTCCAATTAACCAAAAAAAAAAAAAAAAACCAAAAACACTAGCCTTGAGCCAAAAAACCCCCAAAAAAGCACAGGGACAGCGTTCAGGCTCTGAGTAAGGTGGAGCTGGTAGCTGGGAAGGTGGCTTAGCGGTAGAGTGCTTGCTCATTAACATGCATGAGCCCTGGGTTCAATTCCTCAGTGCCACGTAAACAGAAAAACTGGCACCGTGGCTCAAGTGGTAGAGCATTAGCCTTGAGCAAAAGAAGCTCAGAGACAGTGCCCAGGCCCTGAGTTTAGTCCTCAGGACTGGCGAAAAAGGAAAAAAGGTGGAGAGTGGAGCTGGGATTTGAACCCAGGCAGACCTGAATCTGGATGGCCTCTGTGTCACAATGCCCTGCAGGTGGCCGGGGCTGGGCTGGAGGGCCCAGCTCAGGGTTGAGGGAGCGTGGAGGACAGGCAGCCTGGGTTCTCACACACACTGTGGGGGTTTCAAGAGTCCCCTGGGCAGAGGAGGCAGGGAAGTGTGTGTGTGGGGGGCATGGCCCAGGGACAGGAGGGGCCTGGGCTGGTTATTGCCTTCAGAGTGGCTTCTGATGTGTGGTGACCCCCACCTGGCCCAACCCATCTGTGGAGAGCACACCCTTGGTGGGGGTGGGGGTGGGGGGATGGGGGAATGGGGGGGCACAGGCCGGACCTACATCACGTCACAGTTTGACAAGCAGGCCGGCCATGCGCATGGTAACATCTATGGCTGAGGCTCTGAGAGGTTGGGTGGCCTGCCTGAGGCCACGCAGCTAGGCTGGGGTGGGGGTGGGGGCGGCACCAGTGGGCTGAGTTCCTCTGAGCAGGATTCAGCCGGTGGGTCTCCTCCGTGGGGGCTGGGGTGAGCCGCTGTCTCCTCTCCAGCCAAAGTGCGGTCACCGTAACTCACGACAGCAGCACTCTGAGATGGTCGGCCAGCCCTGCTACTGAGGCCCTGTTTCCATGTCCTCGTACCGCCATATGCCCCGCGTGGGGCCTGGCACAGTCTTCCCGACAACCCCCTTTTCACCAGTGAGGAGGATGAGGCCCAGAGAGGCTAAGGCTCTTACCTAGGGTCACACAGCTGGCTGGAAGCTTCCCCACCCAAGGTCACCCACTAAAGGTCATGTTCACAACTAAGACAAGGTCCCAGCTTGTTATATATTATTTATTTATTTATGCCAGCACTAGGCCTTGAACTCAGGGCCTGAGTGCTGTCCCTTAGTTTTGTTTTGTTTTGCTCTACCCCTTGAGCCACAGTTCTACTTCTGTTCATCCCGGGCTGGCTTTGAACCGCAATACTCCCATCTCAGCCTCCTGCGTGGCTAGGATTACAGGCGTGAGCTATGATGTGTGCCTCGGTTTAGTTTCTGAGTGTCGTGGCACCTCTGGGCTCGTCCAGGCTGTGGTGACAGAGGAGCAGCAGAGTTCTGATCTTGTTTCTGCCTCTCCACCTAGCACCTGGGCTGGCTGCTTGGCCCCCTGGGGCCTGGGCTCTCCCTGTCCCTGGGTGGGGTAGGAGCTGGGGACTGTGGATCTGGTCACATGCCACTGTGTGCAGGGAGCTGTTTCCCCAGGCCTCTGATCCCGGATGTACCTGCCTGCCCAGCCACCGTGGGATGCGGGAACACAGGCCGGGCCAGTGCAGGGGAGGCAGAGACTGAACTCAGCCAAGGTCACGGGGCCAGAATGTGGGAATGGGGGTGTTCGCACTGGTCCGTGTGCCCCCAGAAGCAAGCCCCCCAGTACCACGGCGTCTCCCCAGGGAGCCCACGGCCTGCAGCCTGGAATTCTGGGAACAGGTGGGTCTGAGGCAGGTGTCTTGGCACTGCCAACGGCCATCAGGCGTGAGTCCTGGGCTCCCTGCCCAGACTCCTCCCTGTGTCCTTCCACTGATTGGGGGATCCCCCTCCCCCATCCTTCCTTCTCTCAGGAACAGGCTAGCCCTTGTTCCCAGGGGACTAGAAACACAAGGAGCTCTGCTTGTGCTACACTGATCCCTGTCTCCCTGCTCCTGTCCCCACTCCCAGCCTAGACCAGTACAGCTGGGCCACGTGCTGGGCATGCAGCTCCTCACCGGAGGGAGGTACAGAGAGCTCCCCGGGTTCCCCCTTTCCAGATCATGCCCTTCCTTGTCTGTCCCCCACATGAGTCAAATCTGATAAGCATGTGATCCATCTGGTGAAAGGAATTTCCACTGTCACGACATTTGTGGGTAAAGCCGCAGTGGGGGAGGGACCGGGGCCTCCGGCCAGGAGTAGATCTCTGCTCCTGGTCCCGCTCTTCTTGACCTTTGTGACCTTGTACAAAGCATTGTCCCTCTGGGAAAGGATGAGATGGGTCCTAGAGCTCCTTCCAGCTTTGAAAGCCTCTGAGATTTTTTTTTTCTTTTGCTTTGTTTTGTGTTTGTTTTGACAGTCCTGAGGCTTGAACTCAGGGCCTGGGCACTGTCCCTAAGCTTCTTTTTGCTCTGCCACTTGAGCCACAGCACCACTTCCAGCTCTTTCTGTGTATGTGGTACTGAGGAATTGAACCCAGGGCTTCATGCATGGTAGAGTGCTTACTCTGCCACTGAGCCACCTTCGCAGCCCCGCCTCTGAGTTTTGCTCTGGTTGGCCTCCGGGTGCCCTCTGGCATCCCGCCAGCCCCACCCTGCATGGCCACAAAGCCCAGGAAGGAGGGAACTGGACTTCCAGATGGCCAAGGACTGGCCAGCATGGAGTCACCACCTCATAAGCAGCTCTAAGTCTGTGGCCAAATTTAGGAGCAGAGCCAGGATGCCAGTCTGCGGGGGAGGAGGCTCCCAGGCGCTTCCTGCCTTGTCTGGAAACGAGGATGGACTTTGTGGGTCAGGCGTGGGTTCAAATCCCGGCTCTGTGACTTCAGCTGTGGGGAGCTTTGGTGAGTCACTTTTCTTTGTTTAGGCACTGCAGGGGAAGGTCATGACCTGGGCCACTGAGCTGGATGGGGACAGGTTCTCCCAGGCAGGCCGCTGAGCCTGCTATGTGGGAAGTGTCTAGAAAGGCCTGGGCATGCTGCAGCTCCGGCACCCAACTCCATGCCATTTCTGGACGATGGGCCACGTCAGGATGGCAGGACGTCACTGCGCTGTCCTGAATCACTAGTGACGCGTTCTAATGGGACAGGTGGCTGTTGTTAAGGGGTAGGGACATCAGGGTACTTTCTCATCTTCTGTGTGTGTGTGTGGGGGGGGGGGATTACAGTCCACTGGGGCTTGTCTTTTAATGGTATTCATTCACCCACCATCTTTCCTTCTATCTACTCTCTTCCACCCATCTTCCACTCATCTATCTTCGATCCCTCTACCATCCATCCCTCTCTCCATCATTTGTCATCCAGTTTTCATTTATCTATTCACTCATCTTCTAACTACCAATCCACCTTCCTCCCTCCCTCCTTCCCTCCCTCCCTCCTTTCCTTCTTCCCTCCCTCCCTTCTTCCCTCACTCTTCCCCTCCTTCCCTCCCTCCCTCCCTTCCTTTTTTCTTTCCTTCCTTCCTTTCTTCTTCCTTCCTCCTTCCTTTTGTTTTTTTTTTTGTTTGTTTTTTGGTCAGTCATGGTGCTTGAACTTTGAGCCTGGGCACTGTCGCTCAGCTCTTCAGCTAAAGGCGAGTGCTCTGTTGGAGATAAGAGTCCCACAGACTTTCCTGCCTGGGATGGCTTGGAACCTCGATC